CCTGTGGTTCGTTGAAGTACAAACCATATCAAAATAAATGAAAATTGTTTTAAAGTACCTCTTTTTACCGTATTTTTTGTATAGGCGTTAAATTCTTTTGCACACAGTCAAATTTGAAAACTGACAATAAAACTACATTAAAAACAACACTTCTCAATTTCCCTTTATGTTTACATGTGCATTACAATATTTGAAGTATGTATCATTCAATTTGAACATTTTTATAGTGAAATTTATAAAAAAAAAACAATCTGTTAAATACTTTCGCTACCCACACTATCTGTCAATAAGTTAGACGTGTTCTAGCGTGTTGGAAATTAACTCAAAATCGGCGTGAACTTCCCGCACAACCCAATATTTTAACGGTAATTGTCATAAGGAGCTTTCCTTTTTTGTTCCTCGACTTGACAAATTTTAGCGCAGTATTCGATTGCCAATTACGTCTCATAAATTCTCTGTAGAAATTAATAGTTTTAACAGTAATCTATATGCTAATAAAACCTTATTCTGTACTTTTCATATTTGGAGCTTTATTCCCGATTCCAGCTTTAATCCTTTCAGGGCATGACGATAAACTGTATCCGCGTCCTGGGTAAAACGATAAAGTACATCCTTCAGAAAGGCGTCCGATCAGGAGATTTTGAGGAGCGTAGAACCACCTCCTAATTGCTAATGTTTCCAGGTCCACCCTGACCCAGGATGGTAGAACCTGTTATCGTCCCAGCTATGGACAAATAGTTAATCGCAAACAGGGGTCACAACACTATGAAATTGTAAAAATTGGTTTTAATAACAGTAATGCATTTTTGGAAAAAATATCAGCTATACGTTTAAAAAAAAAAAAAACCCACATTTTTGAAGGAAAAGTAATTACCAGCAATATATATTACAAAGAATACATTTAAAAAAAAAAAACTATTGCCTGGAATAAAAGTCTAGTTGGCATTAAATAACAAATTGAGGTTGATACGCCATAAAACACGCCAAACAAAACCTTCTTTACAGTCCCCTACGATCTTGAAAAATGTAAAAGTGCCATCGATCATAATTTTCTCTCATTCTGAATCCATTTTTAATCGTTCGATTGTCTTTGCAACGTTTCTCCGTTTCTTTCATTCTCAGTAGTACCTTGCATCTTTGTAACTTTATCGTCTTAGATTTTTAAAAGGTGCGAGAAAAATAAATTGATGGTGAGTGTTGAAATTTTCTCTAAAATATCTGCACTTAACCATTTGAACAAAGTAATGCGGCGCTGCTTTAGAGAAGATTGAATTACCTTGCGAGTAATGTTCTCACCCTTAGTTAAAATTCGCTATCATTACCATTATTCGACAAGTATCGCAATGGCGTTGACCATATTAGTCATCGCGTGGAATAAAAATGCCGAATAAAGAAGACAAATCATAAATTTCAGGCGTATTCTATTAACGATAGATGTAGGCATATATCCGGCACGCAGGTTCAAACGAATATGAACTCTGTCGGACAATCAGCCTAATGAGTCACATAAAAAAAAATCTCATAACTCGTATAATGATAAACAGAGGACGTAGAAGAATTAGACCAGAAATAGGACAAGAACAGTGCCGGTTCGTTAAAGATACAGGAATCACGAACGTGACATAATGAGAAAAATCCAAATGCAAAAGGACGAACATTTATGTTTTATAGAGTGATATATTACGTCACAAAGAACTTTATAAACTACTATGAAAGCTTTTATTTATTAGGGAGATATATTAGAATAATCCAGAAATTGTACTGCGCCGGTCGATGGAATATTAGTTCAATTGATACGGGAAAATCGAAAACTGTAAGACAAATATGTGTCTTCTCGGCGAATTTAAAGCAACTTCTATGATCTCGCGAGAATGAGAGATTCTACCAGGATGCAAATGACACAGTGTTGATAACAAATATAGGAAACTACAATAACTCCTCTAGAAAGTAGTAAAGGAAAGTGAACAGAAATGAATGAATACGCATCGTCAGAAGACAGAATATATGGTTATCAATAAAAGGAATATTCCAAGTGATTGACTTATTCATTTTTTACGGCTTATCAACCCATTGAAATTTATTTAAATCAAGAAGAATTCTCTTATTTTAGATAGTAAGAACTTGTTGGCGGAAGTCTTAATAATGATATAGTCATAAAACTTTTTACTAATTAACCCATAGCTGGGGTAGACGAGGTAGAATCATAAATTCCCTAAGGGTAATTGTGCATAAGCGAATATAACGAACCCAAATGAGATTTGATGTCAGCTTTCCAATTAACAATTCTGAGCCATTATCTATTAAAACCACCTGAAGATCCAAACTTAGGGCGCTTGGTATTTCCAAGCGGTCATTCTTATTACCAAGCCTGGGCCGTTATTCATTATATCACACACCACATCTAAGCTATGGTATTCTCAAGCGATCACCGATCTAGGTACTGACCAGGTTCGACGTTGCTTAACTTTGGTGATCTTACGGGAACTGGTGTTTTAGTGTTCTTTGGCCATAACCATCAGAACAATTTAATGTGCAAACTACGACTTCGATACAACAAAATCAATCAAGCTCAAAAATTTAAATATCTGGTAATTGTTTTATAACAGAAGATGAAAACTGCGAAGGGAAATTTGTAGACATCACACAATAGCGAATGATGCTTTCCAGATGCTAAGCAAATATCAGGAAACAGGAAAATATCCTTAGAAACACAGAATTACTTGACTTTTAAGGAAGAAGAGACTTGAGGAAGAAGAATGCCGCGAATACCATGAACTGAAAAGATAAGCAACGACGAAGTTTTAGGGAAAACGAGAAGGACATTTATAGAATCATTTAACAGCCAGGGGACCTTTCTAGGGAAAGGGGACTTGGAGAATTTGATATTTCGATGAGATATTGGCGACAAGAAAACTGCTTATAACCTAACTATTTTTTTTATAAACGATTAGCACAAAAGGGAATAGGAGATTGCTAAAATAGAAACCTTACTAATAGCTACAAAAAACAGGAAGTTGTGAAGACCTGTATCCATATACAGACGGGTAGCGGTACATAGAAGGAAAAGAAGCCGAAAATAGCGTTAACATGTGAGAATCGAATTTAATTCTTTTTTCGGCGAATGTGATACTGTTGTCAATATTGTTTTTGTTCAAGAAATTAGTACTTAATGAATCGAGCAAAGAAAAAACGCCTATAGGAATAATTTTGCTGAATCAAGTAAATTCTAATTTAGTTCAGTTAATTATGTGCCACGCGTGATACACGCTTAGGCGATCATGTATCTTTCCCTACATAATTGACGAGGCAGATTTTTTTTTTTTTTTTTTTTTTTTGCTGTAGGTTGCTATTTCTTTCTGCGGTAGACCAGTTGCCATCCAAGGCTATAGAAGACGATCTGTCCTGCTATTTTATCCATAGTTGGGGGAGAAAAAGAGAATCCATACCTTTCCCGAAGGTATTTAGCACCTAAGTAAATGTAATGAATTCGACTGGAATTCGAACTCGAATCTCCGATTCCTCAGTCCGCGTCGTTATCCAGCAAATGTGATAGTGTGTCAATATTGTTTTCGTCCAAGAAACTAGTATTTAATGAATGGAGCAAAGAAAAAAACTGCCTATTTCGAAATATGAGTTGGTTCATTGTTTATGTTGGTATTTAATAAGTTTAGCATAGCTTGTAAATAATGCGACAAGCAAGGATCACCCGATTAGTATCGAACTCGCTATCCTGCAGTAATCGCCACCTGACGGCACTACTAACTGTTACACCACAGAAAAGATTTTAAACATTTATGAAGCTGAAATAAGATTAACAAAATGCCATACGTACAAAAAAAAGAAAGCACTTTGTATTGAACTTTTAATAGAAACGATGATTTTCTAAGTGTTTTTACATAAATTTTGGCCGAAATATGGGATATGGTGTATCCTTAAAGAGGTTACAAACAGACAAAAATTTGAAATAGCATGAAGGAACAGCAACACGAACGTAGATGATTTCCAGAGAGGTTTATTGTAAAAGAGAATACACCACTGAAAGACATTCTTTTGGCAGGTTAGTAATTTTTTTCAGGTTATCTACCAATTTCCCAGGCGGTTAGATGTGGCACAAGACCGAATTTTATGTGGGTATCCAGCCAATATTTATCGGCCTTTAAAATCTTTGTATGAAACAGTGCCGGGTAGTTGTTTCCCGAGAAGAGACTCTGTGCGTCGAGATAGCCTAGTCTGGGGATCCAGCACAGTTTGACCAGCCCAGTTGAAGACCAATCTCCAACTTTAGACTAATTCCCGAAGCACGCGGTCAGATGTGACACAAGGCCGAATTTAACGTCGGGTATCCGAGCCCGTAGCTAGCTGTCTACCACCCCAGACGAGGCTATGTTCGACCAGCTTAGCTGGAGACGAATCTCCAATTCCCGAAGCAAACCCCAAGTATATCCTGTAATCACCATATATAGCTACTGATATGGTCAGTCCACATAGGCGATAGGAAGTATGACACATTCCAACACAACAGGATATCCAGTAAAAATCGTACCAACTACTCAGTCCTAATTATTTTAGCGAGGCATGCTCTCTAACCATTACACCACACCGAGGTGCCCAAAATTGTTAATAGAAATGTTAGCAAAGTCAGACACGCTAAACGATAGATGATATCGAGCAAGCCTAAAATTCTACGCTTGGATACATTTTTCACAAGGACACAGATATGGAACACTTGGGGTACATCATTAATCAGTATTAATAATTTGTAAGATTAACTCGTTAAATATTACCTGAAGGCGGAGGCAGCATTAGATCATCAGTATGTGGGGGAGTCGTAAGAAAATTCCTACATGCTGATTTTCATGAAAGAAAGTTAATGTTTTGTTTGTGGCGGGATGGTCGGGGTGTTTACTCATTTAAAACAAAACGAATCAAAAGGAGGACAAATATATGCTAAGCAGTAGCAACGTGTCCATATATGTTTGTTCATCAATCACTTGATGTTGCTCTGTAGAAAAAATAAGAACAAATGAAAACACATATAAAAATATAGGAAAGCTATCTTTTAAATCATCATGGAGAATCTGTTTGGCTTCTATCAGTATGGCTGACACTAAGCACCAAGACATCAACTCTCTCTCTCTCTCTCTCTATATATATATATATATATATATATATATATATATATATTATAACGATTTTTAAACGTGAAAGCATAAGTGTCAGTGATAGAATAAGAATACGCTGTCCATACATACATACATACACACACAAACACATACATAACAGCACTTATAGATGTGATCGGACACTGTAGGCCTTATACAATTCGTGTATATATATATACTCGCTGATCACCCTACCTTAGTTTCAACTTTTCGGTATCTACAGGTGATTTTTTAAAAATATTTTTTGATGCTGTTGTTAAATTTTAAAATATCATTTTTAAATCTACTGTTTCCTGGTCTATTCAAACTTGACCAATAATATTTTTATAATTGTACATTATAATCACCAAACGAAACATCCTGGCAAAGATTCAGACGCGTTTTATTTTGGGTGATACGTGATGCCGTGATGACGTTACTCTAACGTGTTAATAGGCTGTTAGCCTTATCAAGAGAGACCGCTCATCCCCAACGTTCTAAGAATTAGGGTACCGTTGCGAATTGCTGTAGCATGAGAATTTCTGCACTGAAGAACTCAAATCAGAATATTTTTCCTTCCCTTATATATATATATACATACACACACACAAATGGACAAAGTTCGACAATTATTTAAAGACATAGGATACAGGTTCGAATCCTGTCGAAGGACGAATATTTTCTATGAAAATTTCTCGCACATTCAGGCCGGTAAATGTTGTTTAATACTGTTTATTATAAACAGAGCATTTACTTAAATACTTGTATCTATAAAAAGATTGTTAATCATAACAATGTCTTAAAATAATTGTCGGACTTTGTCCATTTCATAAGGTGTGACGTCATTTGTTTACATTTGATACGCCATGAGCAGATATGAATGTACGTGAGAGACTCATGGAAGGCTGAATTTTATAAGCAGTAAATTGTACCTTGCCAACCGAACGATCCTTTGCGGCCGAGAGATAAGTCACGTCAGGCTATATGACGGTTCCGTATAGGATACAGGTTCGAATCCTGTCGAAGGACGAATATTTTGTATGAAAATTTCTCGGACATTCAGGCCGGTAAATGTTATTTAATACTGTTTATTATAAACAGAGCATTTACTTAAATTATTGTATCTATAAAAAGAATGTTAAACATAAAAAAGTCTTTAAATATATATATATTTTTGCGTTCCACGTAGGTTCCAGTAATGTTTTTCAGATTCCCCAGAACGTGGCGGTAACGTAACATTATCATAAAATGGCTAATACTTTACAAGAAGATATTAGAAGATGCATTCAAGTGATAGATTTTCATATCTAATATATAATTTGAATGCGTCTTCTATCTTTTTGAAAAGTATTGTTATTTTATATTGATGTTACGTTACATATATATGAGTGTGTATGGGTATGTAGATGAATGAAGTGATGTATATTGCCAGTAAGCTTATAAAGATGGATAAGTTAGAGATACATAGATTGATGGATAGCTAGATAGATACAAACGAATAGAAGTACTGAGGTTTGTATAAGCTGACAGAATGATGGATATGTTATATTAGGAAGCGATTTTCTTTTTTAAGATTAGTTGTATAATCTTGAACATACGACGGCATATATATATATATATATAATATTAGTGGTAAATACATACTGGTACATACATATGCAATCATATATCTTTGTATAAAATTAAGACCATGGAATATTACTGTTTAAGCTTTGTTATTATATATATATATATATATATATATATATATGTTCGGTGATCACGCTACTTTGGTTTCAACCTTTCGGTAGCTACAGGTGATTTAAAAAAAAACACCTTTTTTGATGCAATTGTTATATTTTAGAATATCATTTTTAAATCTCCTTTTTCATAGTATATTCAACAGTGATTAATAATATTTTTATAATTGTATGTAATATATATAATGTTGGTAGGCAAACTGATGTAAAGTATGACCTTCGCAAGTCATCATAAAAATCTCAGTTGTTCCTTGAACTGATTTGGCTCTTTTGACCTAACAGTATCTCAAAAACTCTGGTTTATATTCAGAAACAGCAGAGACATCATTTTGGACATGAGGTTTATTTATATGTTTTTATACGTGCCTTTGTAACCCTACAGATTACTTAGACTATTTTTCACTGATATAACATTACTTAGATGGTCGTACTCTGGCAGATGAACTTTGTATAGGATTCAATTTACCTGATTTAGTCAATCAAAGACTATGAAAAACATCGCAGATGAGAACAAATACATCGCCCCCATGGTTTCGAAGTTCAGTCTCATAACTACTTTAGAGATTCCTCTTCAACTCTGCACTTCTTTTCTGATAATTCTCGAAAGGAAATTTTACATC